GTGTAGGTACTATCAAAATTGATTTTTAATTAATTTAACAATAATTATGAAACACATTTTAATCACTCTTTGTTTCCCGAGATGTAATGCCTTAGGTGTCTTTAATGTGGGGCAAACTTAACAAGACTTCCCGGGGAAAACCCACGCTCTCCTCCTGTCAAATGCCTTGCCACAGTCCTGGCATAAGACCACTGAGTTGGTCGATCTATGCACTGAGTTAAGTGATAAGGACATTCTGGACAGAGTCGGGTGCGCAAATGACCTACATCCAGCAGCTCGCACGGCATACTCTTGAGAGGAAGAATGGACGAAGAAAGGTCTTCCGAAATACGTATAGGTCTTGTTGGTCTTCACGTCCACCACTCTTAATGAGCTGCAAACAAAGCAGATTAAGAGTCATTATATAAATCTAACGTAAAATATCACTTTTTTATTCTGAAATTAGTGATAAAGCAATGTTTATCAACGTTTGCTTACAGCGATCTTTCACAAGTTGAATAAAACTGTTAAGGTTGAAATCATCTAATCGCATTAGGTAAATTATACCATCTTATTAATGGTTATTTGATAACCGGGTACTGGTACATATTGTCAGCTTCCATGGATTGGAAACTCAACATATCCATTCGAATCAAATGAGGAATCAGATCTAGTAACCCTTAATGGATTCTCGTCGTCCTAAAATTTGAGGTGCACAAGATACTCCCCGTATAAGATACTTACGAAAAAAACCTCTGTGATGAGATTTATGTCCATATCTACATGGACATTAATCTCTATCACAGAGATTTTTTTTCTTAAGTACTTTATACGGGGAGACAAGATTTTGGTTTACCATGTAGCAGTTGAAACCACCGCATTACACACCACCCTACGTCGTACACTCCTCTGTGATCTGTAACAGTATTTCCTAACTGTTCATTAGCAAACTCAAAGTTAGCCTCAATACTTTTGTTGAGGCTATAGCTATTTAGCATAGAATATTAGTACTTGAGATCAATTTGTGCCCTTGTGCTAATATGTTTGATTAGACATGAGCACGTAGTAGTAAATGACCCCTGGAGTTTAGCTTGTTATGATATACTTTGATTTGCAAAATTTGTTTGAGAGTTTATTCGTTCAGCCTTTACTGAGTGATAAGGCGTAGATCGAGATTTTTGCTCTGCCTAAAGACTTCAGATTGTTCTAAGAAATTCAGTTTCGAATTCCATATCTTGAACAGTATGAGGCGGGATAGGATATGTTTAAACAACCCCATCGTAACCATTAGTGTTTAAATGTTGTTGAGATTTAGTCTTACATCATTATTCTGTAACCATTGGGGTCCATCTCTTGTAAAATCTGTTTAACCTTTTGATCTGGCTAAAGATAAAAAAAAAAAAGATAAAAAACAAACAAAAAACAACAGAAATCTCTACACCATAGCACCTTGGGCAGGACGGGTTAAATTAGGACTACAAACAGATCACAACGTGTTTTGTAAGAAAATAAAACAACTTAAAAATGTACAGATTGGAAATCATCATGGCAACCCGACGACGATGCTTGAAGATATGTTTAACTCTAAAACATTAATAAGATAATTGTATGCATGTATTCAATTTAGACAATAAACAGTCGAGAATGAACCCAACATTATCTCAATATACAAAATTGAATCGCTTTGTAAAGAATAAATTCGAAAGTAAATTTATTTTTTGCTTAATCGTACAGGTTTTTTATAGTAATATAATATTAAAGGACAAAGAACAACAAACATATTGTCAACACATTGAAAAAACAAAATATTATATTTGTATCGCATCCACATTTTTATATAAACAATATAAGTTGTTTTTTTATCAATATATATGACATTATGCAATGTTTTAAATATTTCATGGTTCATAGTTATTAGCATTGAATTATGTCTTTCATTAAACATCCTACGAATTCTGAACAATTTATACGTTGTTTTTGTTGTTGTTATTGTTTTTTCTTATTTTTTATTTTGAAATGTTGATTAATGATATAAATGTTGCCTTTATGGTCCAGATACGTTAATGGTTGATCCTCGATTAATCACTTCCTTAAAAAAAACTTACCTCAACGGTAAAAGTAAATTGGTATCCCTTCTGTCTACTTCTAACAGTATAGGCGGTACAAGTTCAAGGACGAACTTTTATTCAAAACCATTTCATGTAGCCTCTTGATTGATTGATAGAAATGTATACACAGCTAATGCATGTACATATGCCTAATCAGTATCACCTTTTACAACCTGAAATGTCAATGGCTTTGTGTATGGAGTAAAAGAGTTAATTGTCGGATTAATGAGGGCAAGGCCATGTGTTATGTGAAATCATAGAATAAAGATGAAAAATTGGAAACTATAACATCTTATCAAAAAAGAAAAATACAAATGTTTGTACAAATTCGTAATTCAAACTCAAAATCATCAAGCAAAAGTGAGATATGACCTCATTAAATGTTTACATGGCAAACTTTAAAAATGTACGCAAATCCTTCTTCATTCATGAATTGTAACAGGCTACACAAATTCGCGAGCCAAGTGTTCGCTTCGTATACACTCCACTTAGTCTTTGTAATTGATTAAACACTTGGCTAGCGAAGATGCAGGCGACATGGACTCATAAAACTCACAACTGATTCTAAAAAAAGTAGCAATGGCTGCTGGTATGCACAATGAAGAACGACATCTCTATTGGTTAAACGTACCACGACATGTGAATGTGGTTTTTTTTCAAATAAGAATTCTATTCATAGATTAAACAATCGACAGACATCATAATTTTGTTTTGATACAAGCACAAAACCATTTCATTGTAAATCTATTGTTAACGATCCCTGTACCAGTGCAAAACAAAACTGCAACTTCGCATTAGAAACATGACTTTTTTCAAGCTAGACGATAGCTTCTTTGATAAATCATTTCTGAAAAGAAACCCATACCCTGAGGGACTATTGATGTCGACTTGATAATAATGAAATTCACAAATTATAATCAACAGCAGTGTTCCAAGTGTAAAAATATCTAGAGCTGGATTCGAACTCTGGAATTCAGATCGTTTTACTACCGTTCTAACCGACTGAGCTACCTGGTCAACGGAAGCACCGAGGCTCATACAGCTATACTCAAAAACCAATTAAAGGGAGGTAACTGTATTTGCGAAAAATATGTGCTGCAGGATAAAAAATTTCACAAATCGCCATTTCAAGTAAATATAATTGGAATTGAAAGCTGCTGGCGCCATACACAGACCCAAATGGTTGCATCATGAGGATTTTAATTACTTCTTTTGAGATTAAATCACCAGGCATTAAAGTAGATTATTATTATAATGTATATATTACTCTGGTCACATGATGGTCCTTCCCATTCTGCCTCACATCCTGGTAATGTACAGTTTCCGGTTACTCTATCACATCCGGTTGTGGCACAGTGACACTCCTCTTTACAGTCAGCTCCAAATTTCCCAGCAGCGCACACTGTTCAATTTACGAAGTAACTACATGTACTTTGCTACCATTTCCTACATTTGATGGTTTCACATTCGAGTTTTGAAATGATATACTTGTATTGTCGAATGCATTTCAAAGATGACGTTAAACGTAAAAGATACACGTCCTTAATTAATTATAACCTTGAATTGTGTGTTACCACACCGATGATCAGAGTTATCCTATACAATGACTTAACACATGGAATGATCAAAGTATAACGACAAAGATTTACCAGTAGAGCAGCTGTCTCCCATCCATCCTGTCTGGCAGCCTGTGACGTCACACTTTCCAGTGTCTGAATTGCAATCTTCACCCTCACAATGACATGAGAGTTTACAACTGTCTCCAAACTTTCCGACAGGGCACCCTTGGAAAAGAATCATTAGTTTTATTTTCAAGAAAAGTCACTATAAACTATCCGGACTGTACAGGAAATATTCTATTTATAAGATAGCGCATACATCTAGAAACCATTGATTTCCGGTGACTTCAATGAATAGCATTAAAGTTCGTGTAATACAACCACGTTTTCTGTAATTTACAACGTTTCTATGACTTTCTGTCAACTTCCTCGAACAAAAGATTTATCTTATTTGTCTTCGTAAAATAAGAATACGATAATTTTTCACAAATTGACAAATATATTTATAAATAGGATTCTTAAAGGCGATAATGCGTATGTGCATAATCGATTTATATTGACCAATCAGATTGGTATAACAGTATCTAATACCTACATTTTCTGTTCAGCTCCCGAGGGAAGTGAAAGCAGTGTAGTTAATTGTGTTTGCTCATCTTTGTTACATAAATCTTGTTATTATAAATGATATCTTCCTTGTAAGCAAACCGTACCAGATGATAACAGAAACATGTAAATTTGCGATGAGTAGCTCATTCAAAATGGCGCGTAGCCTCGTTGTTTAGTGTTACCTCTTTGGAATATGGTGCTAAATATAACACTACCAAAACAACGTCAGGTATTTATCTAAGAACATTAGAGCCATGTAGAAAACTTCTTTTTTTTCGAGTTATTAACACGAAAAACGAAATATATTTGTTTTCTATTGGCCCTAATGCTCTTCCGTATGTGTCACATCATACACTAAATAAATCTGTCTTGGTATATATTCAAACTCAAATTAAAGTATATAAGAGTTCAGTGTTATGTCGTAATAGAGTGCTAATAAAACTGGATTGATCTCATTATCAAGCAATATACAAGTATTTCATTATTTGTGAGACATATACGTAGGTATGAAAAGAAGAACAGAAATATTTGAAGAACAAAAAGTACCACAGTCTTCTTGTACATCATTAAAGAAGTGGCAAAATCAACATGCTTAACGCTTCGATAGTCCTTAAAGCAATAGAAACATTTGAGTCTATACAAAATACATAATTCCATTTGTTCAGCGGAAAATTTAGATTTAGACTGACAAACATGTGATTATAATTACCGAAAACCTGCACCTCACAGAGTTCTATTATGGCTTCTGTAGTAGAATATCTTTCATGATTCTTTGGTCCGTTATCAGCGGGACGTTTGTTGTAGACTATGACGTATCGCCCAATAACGGTACAAGGGCGAGATTGGTTGGTCGACGGAAGCAGGTCCGGATCATGTATGTCGTCATGGTAGCAAAGATGCCCGTTGGCTGCGTAGATCCGTTGAAATATCATGGAACGATGTGTTGGAAACGTAAAGGTAATATCCAGACAGTCTTAAGGCATCTAAATAAAAATATAACTAGAAATGATTTGTTTTCAAACAACACGTGATTGAAAATCGATGAAGGTTTACTGTTATAAATAGTGGTATAGTTCAAAAGAACGATCTAAAGTAAGTCATCACTGTAATGACTGCTTAGTACATTGTATATGAATCGATAGTAATGATATTACTTATTGAAGTTTAGTTAGATAATCCTTTGACGTGTTCATATTCAAAATTAGATCTTCAATCTTTTTTTAGGTTGGTCGTTAGTCTGCTTTTTATTTCAAAAGTTGAACTTTATGTTTCTATATCTATGTTGACGGACAAATGTTGTGGACACCAATTAAAACTGCTTGATATTGTTATACTATTTTACCAGTGATTTAGAAGTTTTTCAAGTTTGATAACGCGATGCTTAGTGTAGGAAATAAGCTATTTATTTCAAATGTTAAAGTCCAATACTGAAGCGTAGGTTTAACATTCTCCCTACAGGAAGTATTTTTCTTCGGTCAAGTTGTTTCATGTTTTCGTCGAGGTTCTGGTACCCGTGGATCTTTCATATGCAAAGGATGTTACTCCTTCCGCATACGTCTTTGGTGTTGCATAAATCATATCAGGTGTTAATGTTATCAGTTTCTTGGCGTTTTCGGGGCTAACTGTATGTCATCTTTGATAAGCATACTATCCCTATGTGTATCAGAGTGATCTCGCAGTTTTTCTTGTCCTCCTCATTTTTCCAAGGGATTACCTTTGGCGGGAATTCCTAAGGAAAGATGGGTGTGTTTCCCCAAACAATGCTTGGTAGACATTAACCGTTTCAAAAAGTTCCCGAAAATTCCAATGGAATTGATTTCTTTCGTTATAAAAGATCTGATATATCATTTCAGATACCTAATATATCATATAATATTGTATATTACTCACATGTACAATATCGAAAAGTCGAATGGACTCTCCTGTTGATTTCGTCCAACTTACTTGTAATCTCTTTTATGTAGTTCCTATACTCGTTTTGTTTTGTCATGATACTTCCTAAAAATGAAGTTGTTATATTTACAATATATTTACAATAAGTATTTTTGGTGTTGTGATATCGCTATGACGGGTACATATTGCGAACATTGGGATAGCAACTCATTTTGATGTCATAGTTTATGACGCCCAATCTTTCCTAAATTTGTATTAAATATGATATAAAGTTTCCAAAAATTGAACTGCAAGAATCGCTTTAGAGTCTGGAAAGCGGTGATTTAAAACAATTGATAAATATATCTCAAACGTTTGAGACACTTTTAATGACAGGTTTGACTTACATCCATATCTGTAGGTGATATTGATTGTCTGTATCCTGTACGTCCGTCCAAGGTCAACCATCCACCAGGCCTCACTGTGTCCTAGATCTGTATGTGAACAATGTCCAGCTACTTCGTCGTGGCCAGGAATACCGTCCACCGCCCTACCAGCATCATATCTCACATGCGTTGAACTTTGGGTAGCCTTTTTATGAAGGGCCAAATCCTCTATACGTAAAATTAAAATATCATACTGATCGTGTTTACCTTAGAATTAGTTTTCGTACATAAACATAGCTTATTTCTGAGTTGATTACCAAGTATCTGTACCAGAATGACTGTTCGTGATTGTGCTCATTTGATAAATTTGTGCGGGGCTAGTTATCATACATGTATATGTATTTAGTTGCCAACTATATTTGTACTGGTATGACTGTTGTTTCCAAACATCACCGATATAACTCATAAAAGACGAAACAACTGTGTGATATAATTATTTTTTTGCAATACTATACATATTACCAAAGGTTGATCGTAACATTAAATTTTCCTTTCAAGCATCATACAAATCAATTCATAAAGAGATGTGTAATATGAAATCTGTTATCATATTTAGTACATTTTGGTTATATATAATAAAACAAATATTCGATAGCACCATGGAATAAGTAACACTAACCGAGAGACGGGAAAACAAACAGAATATCATCGTGAACTGATACCATTGCCAGGCACTATCATCGAGTCAACTTGGATCCTATAGCCTGAGCCATCTTAATACAGTGTGACACAGTGTGATACAGTGTGACGTAGTGTGATACCGTGTGACACAGTGTGATATAGTGTGATACAGTGTGATACAGTGTAACATAGTGTAATACCGTGTGACACAGTGTGATACAGTGGGACAAAGTGTGATACAGTGTGACAAAAAAAGAAACATTTGTTCTTGTCTTTCTAATATGGTGAACTACATAAATTCTGGGAACTCGCTGGTCCCACTATAAAGGGGCTTTAAGGAAGAAAGAAAAAAAAATCAATGGATGTAAATATCTCGGTTTTTCTAATTGATATCTTATTTGGGTTTACAATGAAATGCTTATGTAATTATACATGTGAAAATATTAAAAATTGCGGCCAAATATCCGATAATTCCTATGAATGTATGATGTCACATTTATGATAACATTCCAATTGGCATACTATACAGCATTAAAAAATCCTGCACAATCTAGAAATGTTAGTAAGGTTCTATCGCATATCTTGCAATGTACAAAACCTGTTTCTCCCACAACCACTATAGATTTTCTCACCCCCGGCTCATTAGATAACCCTGATAGGAATTGGTAAACACGTTTGGTTACCCACTACCGGGGTACACCCCTGACATATTATTGGTCAATCTTTTAACTATTTAATCAAGTAACATTACTTTGAGACGTCACCTGCAATTGTGACATAATAGATTAAGGCAATCGTTTCACCGATCAGAAACAGGAAACATGTATTCACAGGAAAAACACGTCGTTTTCTCAACGTTGTGATTAACCCCGTGTCTTAATACAAATTTGGATCGTTATAGCTTTAATCATTTGAAAATTAAATATCTCGATAAACATGATAACCAACTATCTCTCGTTGGTGAACCTCTATGTATTCCGTAAGTAAGTGTTTTGTAAGCAACAAGTAAATTGTATGCCTGACAGAAAAGTTCGTTGAATCAATCTAGCGCAGTTCCACTGAATGACAATGTTAACTAACATCAGTGCGGTATGCCTTAGAGTTGTATTTATTTTTGAACAGTCAAATTCCGGAACATGCATATCATCCTTCCGACTGTAAATAAATTGCTGGCAATGTGAAGGCAAAGTCGTTATAACCATTATGGTATGCTATGATTTAAAATACACATATAAGGCAAATTACAAATGTCAATGATACTTACTGGATGCATTAATGACTCCGGCAAGAAACGCCAACAACACAACACAAGCAGAAGTTGTGGATAAATCCGACATATTTAAGGTAATGTGTTCGTGTTACCGTCTGAGGGTATATCGTATACTTGTAGTGCTCTTAGGCAAACACAGATAACATAGTTAAACAACATTTTTGTAGTACCAGGAAGTACAAGGCTTATCGTTTGTTATTTCTAATCAATGTCACAGGTAAACTTGTCCCAATTTGTTTCTGATTTTGTTTTATACATCACTGCAGTTCTATGCACATTCGTTACAGTTTCTGCCTTACATTATATAAGCGACATAATCGTGCTTAAACTGACTTCTCGTACGATTGTAGCATTCAAAAGACGAACATGCTATTGCAACTATCTTCTGTCTCTTTCTATACATTTTGGTCATAATGAAACCTCATTTCTGCTGTGTAATATCAATGTTATAATCATTATCAACGTCTCAAACTGACACTTTCACTTGCATCAAAGAATAACTTCAAAGTTGTATTTTATTAGTAACCAGATTTATTGGTAAGTAGCATCCATATTTATATCAGCATAATATCATTCATAATAATGTGACTAGTGTCTTTATGTTCACATAACCAAAGTTCACTTTGGCAAGCAGATGTTCTACCGAAACTTTTGAACGTTAACTACATTAGCATCGAATTTTGCCTTCCGGTTTTATGACTCTCTTGTCTTCCTTTTGTATAGATATAATCTTGATAGCCTATCGAACCTAGTTGAAATTCCAATTCTATGTGAATGAATCCTTCTTAAAGTTCATATCCCGCTTAGAATGGTCGTCTGCCCGAACCACGCCATTTTTTAAAATAATTGACCTGTATCACATTCCACCTCATAATGCATATATGACTAAAATAACTTAAATTAATAAGTCACTGCGTGGGAGCTCTGGTCGATAACTTCTGCCCCCGATGTAGAAAGCTTTTAGATTATTTCACAATTAATATATTATAAAACATATTGTCCATACCAGGAGACGGTTTGTAAAATGCAATATTCAATAAAAAAAATCTTTGTGAAATGAAATAGCCTATCGACCATGATTTCCCATGTGTGTTGACAGTTTTATAAGTTTGATTGCTTTTCATTTTCATGGTATGTTTGTGAGATAATTCCAGCTACATTTACATTAATCCTGTTCCAGTGCCTCTCAACAGCCTGTGCAATAACTCGTCCACACATATATTTTGAAATCCGAAAAAGAAAAATCAATCTATTCTCAAACCAGATGTGATATTCCAAAATGAAAAGTATCAAAAGTTCCGGTCAAAAGATGGGCGGATTTTTATATTCTATCTTTTTATACTAAATTATTTCGTTCACTACATTTTCATTAAGAAAGAAGTTAATCAATTTGCTTTTGTATTCCAAAATAGATGCGATTTTTCATGCTTGTTATATGAATATAGTGAGAAATTGAAATTTATTTTAATCAACACAACCCTGTATAAATATATCTTATCTCTTACCTTTATGTATGTGGATATGAACATTCGACCTAGAACTGAGTATTGCCCGCATTAAATGAACTTAAAAGACTATATGTTAGTCCATTATCTAAAGAGCAATAACGCTAGGTAAACGTTTGCGGATTATTAATTCAGATAAACAGAGCTTTACAAATTGGGTCATATGGAAATAGCATTGATATAATGATAAATACAAAGTCGAGGTTGTTATATACGGCTTTATCACAATCTAGCTTGTATGTTGTCTCAAAGTGGTTCGAAAATTATTATCCGCGGTTATAGGGCTTTTGCAACCAACCAATAATTTTCTTAAAACCCCGGGGAGCATACAGCCGGTGCTGCCATTTCGGCGCTCACAGCTATCATTCAACAATTCCAGTACTACCTAACTACGTACTCATTTACAGCTAAGTAGACTGAAGTAAGCGGAGTAAAGTTTCTTGCTCAAAGGTATAACACAATGCCATGACGTGACTCGAACCCGAGCGTCCTACCACTAGACTATCGTGCCTACTCAGTCGTCTACACTTTCTATGAAGTTGCAAAGGTGTAATTATTAACCGTTGGAATCCGTCATCCTTCTGAGCCGCGATTTTCGGTAACAATCCACGCGAAAATTTTGATTAGCAATATCATAACGCCATTCTGTTTGATTGTTCAACAACTTAAAACACAACAAAAGTTATTCTGATTTGCTTAAATTAATTAATAAAAATTATCACAGACATCCTTATTTATGAATATTTTTGAAAGATTGTTACATGCAAAAACATTATAAAAACAAGTAACTGAACATTACCAGTATATTTGGCACATTTTGAGAATTCGACAGCAATAATCAATCAATAAACTTATGAAATTATATAAGTGACTACCTAGCATAGAGTAAGAATATACATAAAAATGTTCCTTTCTTAAATATACATGATATATATATGAACTTATGATTAAATATATTTAATTAAATATTCTTTATATTGTATACAACACGATAGGTAACTTTGGTGTATAAGGTTAATTTATAAGGAATGTTAATGAATATATCATAATTAAAGAAAAAACATATTTGTATAATTCATCACATCGATCAGTGGGATCGATAACTTTCAGTTGATCGAGGGAATTCTTGTTACGACAAATACATCCCTTTCAAAGAGTTTCTCCAATAAAAAAACTTCCGGCAGCAAACAAAAGTTTTTTTAGTTGAATGTCTTTTTATTAAATTAACTGGTCCTTGTGTCTGTTTATATTACACCAAACAACACGACTCCATTGCCGATTTTTTTATTTTTCGTTTGTGCCTAACGAAGAAAATTCTGGGATTTCCATTTCAGTTGTCCTATGCATCAACTGTGACACTTGGCGATCCTTATCGAAAGCTGTAAATTAAACAACGGATAAATTTAGTTAATATTCAACCAACACACCGTGCTCCTTTAAAACGAATTGATATGCCAAAGTGTTTTTATATGAAGTTAACGTTTTGAAAATCAGATATTGATAATATATTTCAACGTAATATGCATCAAATTCATCAGACACTACTGTTTTAAATATCTGCGTTCATCTGTCATACAAACCTTCGGTACCTATAAAATCATCGTCGTCTTTCGGAGCAGCCTTTCGCTTCTTCTTCTTCTTCTTTTTTAATGACGACCTGAATAGGAAAAGTTGACTTTTTCTGTGAAAAGGTATAATATGACCATTTTAGAAACTTTTGATGGCAGTTTGGAAATCCTATTTAATTAGAATGACATTAATAGTATAAACTAATGAAACAACAGGCTATCAAAAATATTTGATTCACAAATTTTGAACTTGTTTATTCGATTTTTACACTTCTTAATCAAAGTCAATCACTCTTTTATCGAGTGGTCATATAAAGACAAACAATCATACAAGAGCTTAGACTTATTTTCTCCCACGACTACAAATGTCCTCCCTATCAACTCATTGGATGAGCCAGCTCGGAGAAGGTAAACATTTTTGGTCACCGACTAGTGGGTTAAAACTTGGGCGCTATTGCATTGGTCAATATTCTAATAATGACGACAAGTGACAAAGCTTTGCGACGTTATCTTGAGTTATGACGTCATAACTCATTAAATTTGTTTCCCGGATCCGAAGCAAGAATAAAATAAATCTAAGAGAAAGAGACGGTTTTCAGAAATATTTTGAAGGTTATGAAAGAAAGACGTACCCAAATGTGTGATGGTTGGTTATTTTATCTGCTTACATTATCTTGAGTTAGTTTATTTTCAAATTGTAAAAGACACCCAATAAACCGCGTGTTTTTATACAATTTGAAACTTGACTAACTCGAGTTAGATAAAACTTATTACCAACACTCACTCGATGAAGAACCTCTATGTCTCTGTTAACAATAACAAAGTGAGGATCGGGCGAGGTATTATGACAAAATCTGAGTTGCAGGAACTTAAAATTGTGACAAAACAATTGTTGCAGTTTTTATTCAGAATACCTTGATATTGACAACTCAGTTGTAGACCGGTCAGCAGCATCTAAAAAGAAAACGCAAAGATTTTCAATATTTCATCACTGTTAACGTAATACTATTCATAAAAAGACAACAAATTTATCAGTTATTACAACAATAGCAACAAAGCATGGCTTTGTGTGAGTTATTCAATACATGCTTGTTATTCGAAATAACAACGATCAACTTTGCACCATATCGACACATCATAAGAATAAAGATGTATTCATTTACGTGTGATCGGTGTTATGAGAGGTGAAACAATGACCGTCAAGAGATAAAACATTGTACCTCCGTTGCAAGGATGTCCTGGTGGATGGCTAGACGATTGTAACGTTAAAATGATTTCCTTTATCTCGGCTATATCGTTTTCAATTTTGTTGAGATCACGATCTATTCTTTCCACAAGAACGTCTTCGTTTTGTTTTTGGACTCTTGTTATTTCCTACGAAATAAAATAAAATTATACAAAGTAATTATTTGATAGAAAATGATAATGGCATACACCATATTGAAGTTAAACAAAAATGATTTGTCGATCTGTCTCATAACCGCAAACAAAAGATTCATAATAAACATTTATACGAATATGTCATAGATGTAACTGACCAAGTTAAAGCTCCGAGCTTTGCAAAGTAACTTTCGTTGAAGTTTGATATTAGTATCACTGTTGAGTATTACAGTAACAATTCGTTAAGCTTGAGATAATAATAATAAATAATTCGATGTTCTTATATACCGCTTCATCACAACCTAGTTCGTAGGTCGTCTTAAAGCGGTTCACAAATTATTATCCATGGTAATAGGGCCTTTGCAACCAGCCAATATCTTTCTTAACTCCCTGAGGAACATACGGCCGGTGCTGCCATTTTGACACTCACAGCTAGCATTCAACAATTCTAGCACTGCTCAAACACGTACTTATTTACAGCTGAGTAGATTGGAACAAGCGGAGTAAAGTATCTTGTTAAAATATATAACACAGTGCCGTAACGTGACTCGAATCCACAACTCTTCAGTCACGAGCCCGGCGTCCTACCACTAGACTACTGTGCCTCACTGCGATACATCAGAGTACTGTTATATGGTTTACCCGAAGCTGTATAACGGCAGTCTGCAATTCACTTCCATCTGTTTGATCATCAACATCATCGTCGTCGTAGGCCTGTATAAGAGGATTACAGCTCACTCTCATGTCGTCCAAAAACTGTTTCCGGTTCCTCTTCCTGAGAAGGTCCCAGTACACCAAACACACTATGGCCTTCTGCATCCGGGCTATACTATGGGCGTTGTCATACACTCTGTCGTTCAAACACAGATATAACATTGATGATATTATTTAAAACAAGACGAAATAGATTTTTAAACAAGATCGTCAAATTTCAGACGAAATATGCATGATTGATTATGCATATGATTATTTGAGTAAGAATATGTCACAATCCGACACGATAGATTTACATAAATATTACGGACGAATATCCGTACAAAACATTAACTTTCCATTCCATGCAGTTACCTTTGAAATGAATCTGTGAGGAGAGCGATGAAGAGGTTTAGGCAAACAATGGCGGACACTGCCAACCATGTCCCTATTAGGAGGTCAGCCATAAAAGGGTCTACTAACTTCATTGTCTGAAAAATAAAAGTTAACCTTTCTTGTCATAAAAAATCATATCAAAGCAAAGATATTTTTCCGTGACGTTTTATCAATTAGGTGTAGTTGGTGTCCATATTCGCGGAGTTTATAAAGTATTTTAATGATTGCCCCAGTGAATATTTACTTAATTCATTTTAGCAATTTCTTATTGACAAATCAAAAGGATTTGACAGCACCACACTATGCCTATTTTAGTCCTTTTCCTAGCTTCATATACATATTCGTGTACACACGCATTGAAAAAAAATAAAGATATAGTAAGGCAAGGGGAGAAACTCCCAAAGAATATTTATTTTAAAACTACACACATGAATTGATAATTAAGGATCCGTCAAACAACCGGAGATTTTGTTCATAGATTTATATTTTTGTGCGAAATAGAAAGGCTGAGCTAGCAAACTTTTAAATAACACAGAAAAAAATAAAATAAATAAATTGCCAAGTCTCACTAAAGGCAATAATTACCAGATTTCTTTTACTTACTTGATAGTCATAGTCATCAACCAAAGTGATCCTAAAAAGACTGAAGAAGACATCGCCGAAACTAGCAAGACCTTCGACGATGAGGTACTCAGCCGTATTGTTGTCTGCATTTCGTGTGTCATACGTCACTTTCTCGCCGCCAAATATCATCCAATAGGCGCACACTGAAAATTGATTATTATGATTAATAGTAATTCCCACCATAGGATTCACATAAATCTATTCTTTCATCTCCTTCACACCAAATACCACCCCAGGAAGTATCGCTTAAAGAACGTTGAAATATACTGCTGAATTATTATNCACATAAATCTATTCTTTCATCTCCTTCACACCAAATACCACCCCAGGAAGTATCGCTTAAAGAACGTTGAAATATACTGCTGAATTATTATTATCCCTCCAAATTTCAGATTAACATTCAGCTGATTCTCATCCCCGTCACCCTTACAATATTACCAATGTTGGCATATATCTATACGAAATCACATTGAACTTCATTCCGCCAAAGATCGTCAAAAACAAAATTTAAGTTATTTTCTTATTTACCCCTCTTCAACAACCAGTAAGTGTTTATGTGTGACGTTTCGGTGACTAGCACGGTACGTACCCTGGATTCACAGACTCTCGCAAATCTGTGATCAGGTATAAAACAAAGCGTAGCCGAATCGAATTGTCGTTTTGATTCGTCGTTTCGCACATGTAAAGCAACGACATGTACATTCGAAAATGGCGTATCCGAATCGACGTCGATTTTAGATTGCCTACTCGTTTATATGTATTACACCTTTGTGCTTCACTGGTCGTGATCATTTGCCTGATGAAGGAGACGAGGTACGTCCCATTCTAGTGATCGAAACGTCTCACAAAAATACACTTACTGGTTGTGATACATAACCTTTCTACAATTCATACTAAACAACCTGAGGAAAATGTTTAGAAAGAAACTCTTCATATGACATTCAATTACATTAATCAGAATGAGAATATAATTTACAAGATATGCAGACAATGTAAATGTATAGAAGTATGTACAAGTTTATAAATTAATTGGCATTTAGATTACCATATGGGAGATAAAACTGTAGGTAAAGGCATGCAAACAGGATGAAATCCTCAATCATGTTCCCCAGGATCACAATCAATGGTCCTACAATACAAAAATATCAGACTTTAAAACATAAATTGTGGCGTTTATCTTTAGGTTTGATCAATAGATGATGTAAAACGAGCATTTGATTATTAATTGCCCCTACGAATGAAAACTTGATTGAAATAACTTATTATAGAATTTAGATTCCTATTCAAGTTCCGTTTATCCCCGTCTGTTTGCGATAAAATATCTTACCGACCTTTGTGACTGACCTTCCATATTTCGTCAGTTTCTCGTTATTTTTAATCGGGTAAATGTTATTCTATAGATGTGTACGTTTCATTAACACTTCATTCAATGAATTTGTCACTGCTTTCAATGCACACTTTACGGATTGTTACTTTTCAATAAACTGAGTCATATTTATCACCGTATATTATTGTTAAGCTCTCTACCGGACATAGAACACTTGCGAAATAGTAATCATTGAGATTGAAATGGTGATACTGTGACACTTATATCATATAAACAGTTCAGACTAATAATCACTTTATGTGACAATCTGCAAACAATTACACGTGCAAAAGCATTTTGTGCAAGTAAAATATATATATTGTCTTACGTAGATTTCTTTTTTACAAATAGTGTTTATTCTAAACTGTTTCCGATAAAGATATCTTACCAAGCTGCTTGAAGGACCTTGCACATTTCGCCAGTCGTAACCAGAGGAGAATAAGCGTGACAGACATGAAGTTGATGTGGAACCTGGCTGTCCCCTCGGTGTGCCTGATGACGTCAGCCAGGTGAGAGACAATGCAAATTCCAAGACATCCATAGCAAACCCAGTCAAATACGTTCCTGAGTAAAATGTTCAGTATTAGTACATAGAACTATAGTATAACGTCAAATACGTAATCAGGAAAAGATGTTTTATAATCACATAAAACACAGCTAACAGATATAAAGAATACATGAATTTCATACTGCATGCATAGTAGTATAATTCAACACAGAGATAAATGGCATGGTTCTACTACACGACTGCGAAAACAGAAATCTGCAAAAACAAGAATCAGCACAGGATAAAATTGTTATCTTACAATATAAAAATGGAACATATATGTGATATGAAAACAACAAGGGAAAGAAGAAATAAAAACATCATGACTCTCAATGTGTTTCCTGCACAAACCGGTATATGTATATTTTTTTAAGTGGAACAGAAAAAGGCGCCATGAAACAATGCAAACTACAAAATTTATTGAAGTATATTTCTTTTATCCAAGATTGTTTGGTTTGGTTTGGTTTTTGTTTGTTTAATGTCCTTTTAACAGCTAATGTCATATTAGGACATGCATCCATGTATGCTGGTATTCGTGCATATGTGTACATTGTATGTGTATCGGAGGCAGTGTATATTTGAGTAATTGCCTCTTTCTGATAGCGTGGACCTGATACTGACTGTATAGTGTTATCTCATTGAAACATTTAGTGAACGGATATAATTCATAACATACTTACCAAAAGTCTTTGAAGTATCTCGGAATTTGTTTATCAAGCTCGTGTAACTCATCTTTTAAATACTGTATGTCTGAAGTATCATTGTAGTGCTTCATGTCTGCGTGTATTTCAGCCGTTCTGAATTTCTTCCATTCCTGAAATTATAAAGTAAAAAGATACAGACAGAGAACAAAAAACACCTTCCATGAATTTATTCATAAAAGGTAAATTTCATATATAAATCTGTCAAAAATGAGTCCGAATTGCCTTTAATTTCAAGTTCTTCAGGATAAACTAGTTTCAAGTAATTATCGAAATCAAGATGATTTATGGAATGACAATGATCTGATATATTTTCTTCATCAATTTTCTTTGTTCCGTGTCATTCTTAAAATTTAAATATTTATGATGATTGGTAATTATTTTCATGGTTCTGTGCATAGCGAAAATAATAAATTGTCTATGGCAAGTTGTGCACGTACGTACCCGAGCATCTGTAAGGGTATGCAAATGCAATTTCAAAGTCAGTCTCTACCTTTACGTCATCTAGTGCAGTCACTATTATTTGTTTCGTAAAAAGGTTCCAATTTTGGCCAAGCCAGTCCGACAAAGGAAAATAATTGCTTTTTCGAATGTTAACTTCGAATACGAAGTGGGCAGAAGACTACATCATCCCGTAGGGTGGTGCACGGTGGGAAACAATTTGTTCTTACGTAATTTTTGGTGATTGAGCGACGATATTCTAGGATTTCTTCCATCATCTCCCATATGGTGATTCCGATACCGATGACCTAATATGACAAAATCATTCCTATCAAATGTTGGTCATCACCGTTATAAAGGACAAACGTAATCAAGTTTATTAAAATATTGTGTTCCCGAAATTCATAATTTTATATTTAAGCACAATGTGAGCATCAAAGGAAGAGAGTAATAGATTTACAGCAGCTTGTTCCGGTGCTACACAAGGCTCTTGTGAAAATATTGCAATTTAAATCATTTCAATTGATGAAGATATTGGTTGAGTAATATATCTTTTACCTGCCTGTTACTTTACTATAAAATGGTGACTTGAAGCCATTTCATTTAAGAAATAACAAACTCGTTGTTTGTTCTCGGTTCAAATTTTCATACCAAATGGAAAACATTGTAATAAGAACATTTTTGGGGGAAAAAATTAGAGTATCTTAAACTATTACTACAAAAAAAAAACTATTTACTCTGTAAACTTACTCCGAGCACGATTCTCCACCATTGGTTAGGCAGGTCGTAGTAGTGCTTTTGGTCATAGGAAACAAGCACTCCAATCAGTGACCAGACAATAACATAAAAAATGTTGAACAGGAACCATAGAAAGGCTCGTCTCCTGAATAACGTAAGTCGCAAACATGTTCATCTAAAGAGTGGTAAAATAATATTTTTCATATATCTACAAAAAGTGTTGGCAAACTTCCGAATTGTTAATTTATATCACTCAATGCACAAATCACTGACCTCGTATGTCAAAGGACTGAGAAAATATATTGTATTCATAAGTTTACAAATCACGGAAATATTAAGTCAAAGAGGGTGTAAATATATATGCTTCTTAATGAAAAGGGGTCACTTGCGCAAAGTCTGGTTAGCTTAGCGACAACAACAAAAAATTAAATCATCATATTTTCATTGAATTTCAAAACCAAAGGTGTACACATGAGGATTCGAAATATTTATCCAAAGACAACAAATACCAAAATTGTATGCGAGAATGATTCATTAAGCTTACCAAGCAATGAACAAACGGACCGAGATGTCAAACCACAGGGTGAGTGATATATATATTAATTCACTGTTGGAATTACTTATTTGCCCCATATTAATTCATTGTTATACACAGCACAGAGTTGGTTAATCACTGATTTCGTAAAAGTTATTTATCATTAATTTACATATCACAGAACATTTAAGTCACAGCATGGTTTGTTGATTGCGTACTCTTTTATGTACAAATAGTAGGGTCGGTAAATTGTACGGCTCATTCATGTGTCATAGTGATATTATTTTTTACTGTAGATGAACAAATGACATAGGGTACATAGAATTCCAAAACTCACTCGACTAAAATAAATCAATATTAGTCCTGAACATCCCACAACATGAACATGGTTGGCATTCGGGTTAACTGTTATTATTATCTTATGTCATGATTTTATATTTATAAGACTTAACCAGATGCAGACTCGAAATAGTCGAAAACGGACAGCTATTAAACCATAATCAAATGACCAATGCTTTATGCCATAGTAAAATCAATTAACACCCATTTAAGCACAAGTAATTAGCCGTATTGCAGTGTTACTGATATAAAACCTGGATGAAATATTACCTGATGAGACACCACTCTTTGTACTGTTAATAACAAAACACTATGTTTGCACACACGATGATTTCGTAAATACGACTGTTACTTTGCGTATCGTTCCCACATGTGGTCGATCATGGTTGAGAAGACACGATGAGATAGAAGGTTGAAGTGTTGTTTGTTGACAGCAACTTGGAGCTTGAATAGAAAGAAATCACATCACCTTTATGTACATTGAATACGTATAAACATAATATCACTCTGTTACAAGGAATGGCCTTTCCATTGAATCAAATTTAATTCTGGTACGTCACTATTTGGATATATTTTTACGAGTTAAAAGAAAACCTAAGCACTTCCAAAGAATGAAAACGATAATAGATGTAATAACTTTGAACTTCTCTTTCGGGATGTTTCATTTAATGTCACCAAACTTACAGGCAAATCAATAGAGTCCTCTTTATTGTTATCTGCAAAACAAAAATAGGAAAAATTATGATAACAATTCATTTTGAATTGACTGAAAAAATTTAATTGACCAAAACCTAGTTTGCAAATAAACAAAAACGACTGATGATCAAAAACATGCTTAGAATAAATTTCCCAGGTAGAACAATAGAAAGACACACGAGTCCAACATAACCTCATGTATGATCCGCTCACCTGCCATTAGTTGGTAGAGGTAGAAGCTCTGGCTTCGATTTTTGCGGTCAGTGGTATGGTAAGCATCTAATGCGTCGTAAGCCTGCAATTTGTCATTTTACAGACAGATTAATTTAATTATATCATGTCAATAAGCTAAATGTATATTGTGAGAAAAAAAAATACTTTCTTTTTTCAATTTAATAGGAAAAATCGAGACCCGTGAGCGGTTACGTCCCGGCAAACAAGAGTGATTAATATAAGTTGAAATAATTGTTTCATAATTGCTATAAAACAATAAGTTTATACTTTATAAAGTAATAAATAGAGAATTTAAAGATACCATTATTTGCATAAAGTAAGCAAAATAATTAGCATCGACTGAATGGAAAATATGCAATGTTCCTTTACGGATATAACATTGTACCACAGCAGGCATATTGATGATCATCCAGCCAATAGTTCCGTATCCTGCCACATTGTTCCGGTTCATCCACGCACGCGCACCTCTCCTCATTAGTAAACGCGTGGTAAAACTTCTGTCTGAAATTCAAACAGTTGTTGAATGATCGATTAAATGTCGCCTACCTCTTTTAATGTAAAAGAGGATTATTTGCATGTTAAACAAATCCTACTTTGACAAATTGATCAATTTATTCTTTTAGATTGAATATTTCTTTGTGCTATTGGCATGTCTGTCAGTATGTTTACATGTGCTTAGTTTTTATCGTATGACAATTTCGATTTTCTCATCTCACATACAGTGAAATCCCTAATTTTCGTGTTGTTGTTTTATGTTGATTTTGGGGATTTCGGGGTACTCGTTATTCACAAATTCATGTACCCATAAAATGGAGTTTTGTCTGGAAACCAAGAAATTTGGGCCCTGCGAAAACATCTGAATTCACAGTATTTCATGCCATTTTCTGTTTCATGTAATGTAGATCAGATACCGAAGGAGTACATCAGTGTTTCTAATCTAGTATTAATGATAGCATAAAGTGTTCTAGGGTGATTATTCGCGTTTAAGTCAATGAGACAGTATTGACCATATCACGTATCATGAAGGGCAGGGACAGCGGATAACCATGTTTTAGTTATATCCAGTGCGTCGTGTTGATGTTCCTGTTATGTAGGGATTACTTAATGGCGCACCTGATGAGGAGCCAAGTAGTTCCATAGTTTATTAAGCAATATGAGACCTACATGGTCGCAACAGAAGGCAATAATAATATTAGTACATAAGATCAGTTTATGACTCCATTTATTAACTTACAAATAATATATGAATGAAAAACAATTGTTTGATGACGCCTGCGCATGGTGCCCAAGCACCAGAAATGTGATAGTTTCCTGGACTTAAAGTGTTTCGTCGGGTAAAATCACTTAATATTCCACCTGTATTTATCAACAACCAGCGTTTTATCATGTAGTTTATAACATATTATCCCTTCTCTTCCGGTTATCATGTTAATCCCAGGACTTGATGCTTATAATCAAGATTATGCCAACATTGAAGAGTACCGCAAGCAGTCCTCAAGTACGTACCTTGTTCGGCGGCTAATTGTATTGGATATCTGCCCTTGTAATCCTGTATATCGTCGAACTGACAGTCATGATCTATGAGACAATCAAGCGCATCACAGCAGTTATATTTGGCAGCATAGAACAGGGCCGTCTGCTGGTCTCCTGTCGTTCTCGCCTCTTTGTTTGCTGTTAGTTACCAAATTAAATCCCGTTCAATTGAATTAATTTGGATGCTATGTTTTTTATTGTTTTAGTGATCGTATAGACATAACTAATATTTAAAAATACAATCTCCCTATTACTAAATTTAACTACTGTAATAATGAGATATGCACTTTTTACAGCCTTTCATTCTAGGTTTCTCTCAAACTTATACGCATACCAATTATAGGTCTCTTTAACATCCTTAATCTGCTAGGAATTGGTAACAGTTTCTGATCACCCACAGTGAACTTTTGTGTCATTGGTTAATCTTTTAATCAATAGGCACCTTAAAAATGATTTGCGTCGTCAACTGCCATTGTGACGTCATAATCCATAAAATTTGTTTCCTTGATCGGAAATAATAATCATGCATCTTGTAAACCTCCTATCTTTTACAATTAGAAAATTTACCAACTCGAGCTAGATAAGTATGTTACCAACAAAAACTCATTGGAGAACTTTTTTTCTTCTTACCAGACAGTGTTGTAAATATGAATTGTATTGTAAGTGTATAAGCAAAACTGTTCCAATATTCCAGCCGTCTCACAATCCCACCAATTTTACTAGAAATGAAGGAGGCTGAATTATCGAGGTACCAATATATTTCAAATTGTATAATTTCTGATGTTTTCAATTTAGAGCCAGCACATAAAATAACCCCATAAGTTATTTGTATTATATCATTTAAATTCATGAATACATAATAAAATCAAGTACCCACCTCCGTGTCTGATGAGGAGGGACACCATGTCTGTGTAGTTGTTAGCAGCAGCTACATGTAGAGGTGTACGGCCATTGATATCGCCTGTGTTGACGTCAGCGTTATGTTTCAGAAGGAATAAAGTGACATCCACGTGCCATTTCCTTGCAGCCTGAAAGATGAAATAATGATGAAGCTGATCACGAAACTAAAATTATCATGAAAAAATCGGTAAGAGAAAATGAAAGTTTCAAAATTGATTTAGCTGATAATCAAACTGAAAATTGAATGAAAAAATTGGACAGAGAAAATGAAAAATCAAAAATTAATAAACTGATCACGACACTAAAAATCTCATGAGGGAAAATTGATAAAAAGGTTATAACTTTTTCCATTTTCCACCTTTAAACCGGTTGAAATTAAACATTGTCAAATGTAGCATCATGTTTCAAAGGAGTAAGCTTGCTGACAGTAAGTACCTTGTGCAGGACTGTTTCCCCTTGGGAGTCCAGAACATTCACATCGGTGCCCGAATGTAGTAATGTATCTGCTACCTGTAGATCTATTTCAGTACATTGATCAGAACTCCCAACTTCTTCACATTTCAGAAACAGTTGATGTAATTGAGAAACATAACGGTCATCATACTTCAAGTCATCCACTAGGTTTTCTTTTGCTTCTGGATGCTTTCTGTGGAAATAATCAACAAATAAAAAATATTATCTATTTTTCCCACAATCACTATAGGTTTCATCACTACCAATTCGTTAGATAAACCAGCTAGGAGTTGGTAAACATGTTTGGTTATCCATAAGTGGGTACCACCTTGGACGTTATTTCATTGGTCAAATTTTACATAACAATCCTTTGCGCCAACCGTTTCAATTGTGACATCATGATTCTTTTTTCCCCGATCGTAAACAGACATAATCCATTTTCAACGCAATGGAAACATGTCGTTTTCTAGATATAATATGAACATTATTGGTGAAACAGATCCACAAACTCGTAATGGCAGGTTATCATATTGATAACGCTCTCATTAGTTTATGTTTATATTATAAAAGGGACGCGGTAAACCATCCACATATTACTCGTTTGGGAACCCCTATATTACAATATAAACTGATACGCATACTTTCTTTCGTGGGATATTACGTCAGTTAAACACAATTTACCATTTTTTATATCACATATAAGTATATATATACTTATTAGATGCATCCAATTTCTTACCGATTATTTCTGATTGGTAGACAACTTGAACATTCGTCAGCGTCCTTGTGGAATTTGGATTGTGTATCTTGATCTTGTCAAAAGAAACGCATGGAAGGTTACTAATGGAATAATATAAAGATGATATTATGAGCGTTACAATATATGTACCTGAACAATTATATATTTATATTTTAAATTTAATAAATTTGTAATAACTTGAGCAAAAAAAATTTAATCAGAAAACGGTAAAAAAAAATGTGTATTAAAATTTCGAAAGTTATAACGGATTTACAAGAGCATAACAATAGTATGCAATGCACCATTCAATTCAAAACATTTCTATAAGGTCATACTTTTGTATTGTTATAAGTTTTAATGCTATTTTCACAGTTAGTAGTTCTAAATGACTAATGAAAAAAATTATCATTTTATTTCGTCATAGAACCATTACATTTACCCCTACTTGTCGTCCGTATATTCTTGTGCCACTGTATTTAATTCTTCGAAATATTTTAATATTAATGGTCAAATGAGAGATTTGTTAATGATATTATAATATAGCAATATTTTAGTGATCAGAATGTCAAAAGATGTAAATCAATATCATAAAGTCCATATGATTCTATATATACGGATCAGGGCAACATTTAATGTAATACTATATGTTGTAGTCAAAAATATCATGATCATTTTCTGATATTGCTTTATTTCTTCATATGTTTCACAAAACTGTATTTTAATTATTTTTTTAATTTTGGTAACACTCATGTATCATAATTGGACAAAATGAGCATATGGGTGCAGTGAACATTGACTTAGTATTACTTCACGCAGCTTCTTAATTGTTACATAAGTGCCTCATTACCTCGTATTTTTTGGTGAGTATAAACTTATATTCACCTGTGCATACGTGAAACAAGGAATCAAAATATTTAATCTTTGAACGTATACAGTGGGAGAAGTGTTATAACCACTTTATCAATTGTTATTGAACAGGTTAGTCGATTACCATTTATATTTCTTTTGTTCGATTTTGGATGAAAAAAAATAACTTGCAAAATTCAAAAAATGTTTAGTGCCCTTTCGGCTATTTACAGGCATTAAATCTTTCCTTTCCAAATAATACAACAATAACTTACTCATATATTATTTGGAAAGCTTTAATAAAATGTAAACTTTAATAAAAATTATCTTTCGAGTCTGACAATGGTATCGGTAAACCCCTTAACCTTTTGTTTTTGCTTTACATGCACTGTGACAGAAAATCAAACATAATATATTTAAATTACATTTATCTTAATTTATTGAAATTAGGCAAAGCCTTATGCTTATCAGACCTTCGTTTCTTCATTTGAGATTAATGATCAATATATTTTCATTTGGGCTGACCGCCTAACCAAAACATGACGGTAAATATGGTCAAACAATATTTACTTACTATATCCTTCCCAGCGTTTGGAGCAATATTTGCTCAAATCACAATGTGGCTGTCGTAGCGTGTCATCTAAATGGTTGATGGTAGCACTGTAACGTATAAGTATATGTACATAAACTGAAAAACATTCTCCTTGATGAAAGACACGTGTTGTCGAGAAGTTCCTCATTTATCAGTATAGTGACGGAATGCAATTTATATCACAAAAATTCGGATCAACATACACAGGTGTATATGAAGCACTGTTTTTATATATTATATATTATATGTATTATAATAACACTAATATTATTTAACGCAAGTTATTTAAGGAAAGTTTAGAGCTTCTTTTCTAAAAGAAAAACAAGTATTACACTTTTCGTATAACAAGAGCGAGTACCAAATTTCAGAGAGTCTCCATCTAACAGTAAAGCGTGAAATCAAACCATCAAATAGACAATGTTCTTGCAAATTGCTTACTTGATTAATTTCATTAATATTTCATGAGTGGGTGAATATTTAAATATTTTAATGAGGGTTATTTACAAGTATGTTCTGTTAATGTTATCAAGACATGGCCATCGTCAACAGATAGTTCATCTACCATCAAAACAAGTATGTTCTGTTAATGTTATCAAGACATGGTCATCGTCAACAGATAGTTCATCTACCATCAAAACAAGTATGTTCTGTTAATGTTATCAAGACATGGCCATCGTGAACAGATAGTTCATATCCCATCAAAACAAGTATATTCTGTTAATGTTATCAAGACATGGTCATCGTGAACAGATAGTTCATCTACCATCAAAACAAGTATGTTCTGTTAATGTTATCAAGACATAGCCATCGTGAACAGATAGTTCATCTCCAATCAAAACAAGTATATTCTGTTTATGTTATCAAGACATGACCATCGTTAACAGATAGTTCATATCCCATCAAAACAAGTATATTCTGTTTATATTATCAAGACATGGCCATCGTGAACAGATAGTTCATCTCCCATCAAAACAAGTATATTCTGTTAATGTTATCAAGACATTGCCATCGTCAACAGATAGTTCATATCCCATCAAAACAAGTATATTCTGTTAATGTTATCAAGACATGGCCATCCTCAACAGATAGTTCATCTACCATCAAAACAAGTATATTCTGTTAATGTTATCAAGACATGGCCATCGTCAACAGATAGTTCATCTTCCATCAAAACAAGTATATTCTGTTTATGTTATCAAGACATGGCCATCGTGAACAGATAGTTCATCTTCCATCAAAACAAGTATATTCTGTTTATGTTATCAAGACATTGGCCATCGTGAACAGATAGTTCATCTCCCATCAAACCAAGAAAAGCAAAATAATGCTCTAATGCGACGACACAGTGAGAAAACGTCAGGGATATCGTGACGTCACAACTGACAATACCCTTAGTCTTTTCGTACACTTCATTCTGCATTTTGTTTGTGCATTCTATTGTTAACATAGCACATATGTGTTGTTTGTCACAATAGACGATATCAACATTGTTTCCACCAAACCCACATACATTTCACTGGTAAAAATGTTACAGAAAAAATATAAATTCGTAGAATCCATTGCTTTGCACTAATTCATTAGAAGTACTGTCTATATAAACATTAACTTTACAAAACCATATACAATTCAAAACGTCAAACCTACCTTTTGTCATATAGGTTTTCCTTTGCCTTTGGTCTGAAAGCCATGACCCCATCAAATTGAGCGCTAGAGGGCCGCACCTTGCTTTTCTTCCCTGTTCTCGGCATCCCTAATACTGAAAGGAGCAAAACGACAACATTCTTAAATTAAACACTGGAAATACTTACACAATGACAGTAAATCTCCATATTGTTAGGGACCCATGTCTGTCCTCTTCAACCCGGCTTGTGGGGATTTAGAAAAGAGTATACCTGTTGTTACTCAAATTGTGTATGAACCCCCTACGGTCATCAGATTGGCTTCAGTGACCTTTAGTGACCTTTACTTCTGAACGTAAAAGCGACCAAAAAAATAATTGCTGCAGCAATTGCTACATTTGTAATATTTCTATTTCTTCTCTTGTCTATCTACTTTTTCGTTTTCTAGCACCTCTGTTGACAATACCTCGCTTTTCACTTTGGTGTTGAGCGTTACCCAAGCGATATAAGTTATAGGTTGTTTCCAGACCACAGCAAACAGAATTCCTTAAAACTGATACTTGCTGTTCTCTGATTGACTCTCAGATCCAATTGAATACGAAGAGGTTAGTACGGGCTTAACCATTAGAATTATATCGTGACCAGGTCAACACTGTGCTGGCTGCCTTCAGGAAGGAGGCTGATTCACCAATATACCGCCTCCAACGCGCACGAATACATTACACACATCGCAGCACGAATACATTACACGCATAGAAGCACGAATACATTACACGCATAGAAGCACGAATACATTACACACATAGAAACACGAATACATT